TTTATTCTAATTCTTTGTTTTTCTTTTGTTTCTACCATGCTGGGCAGAAACTGAAAAAAATCCTTATTTTCCTTGTTTTGCCATGAAGAGGCTGTGAGGTGGCAGCCCCTTGGTGGGTTTTATCAATCAGAATAGAGGTAGAAGGGACCTTGGAAGTCTTCTAGTCCAACCCCTTCCTCAAGCAGGAGACCCTATACCATTCCACATTGTCCAGTCTCTTCTTAAAAGCCTCCAGTGATGAATGGAATAGAGTTGGAAGGGACCTTAGAGGTTGTCTAATCCAGCCCCCTGCCCAAGCAGGAGACACTATACTATACCATTCCAGACAGGTGGCTGTCTAGTCTCTTCTTAAAAGCCTCCAGTGATGAAACACCCACCACTTCTGAAGGAAAACTATTCCCCTGGTTAATTGTCCTCACTGTTAGAAGATTTCTTCTCAGTTCACTTCGATTAGTTTCCATCCATTGTTTCTTTTTCTAGTGCTTTGAAAAATAGGTGCACCCCCTGTTCCTTGTGGCAGTCCCCCCAATATTGGAATACTGTTGTCATGTCACCCCTGGTCCATCTTTACTCTAGACTGGCCATAAAGAATTCCTGCAACTGTTCTTCACATGTTTTTGTCTCCAGGCCTTTAATCATTTTAGTTCCCCTTCTTTGCCCTTTTTGCAGGGTCTCAATATCTGTTTTGTAATGTGGTGACCAAACCTGGATGCAGTATTCCAGGTGTGGTCTTACTAATTTACTTGCTCTTTATAAAGCTATACTAATCCTTCTTGTGATTTTGATTCTACGACTCTTGTTTATACAACCAGGGATTTTATTAGCTTTTTTGGAAGCTTTTTCACACTGCTGGTTCATGTTTAAGTGATTCACAACTGGACTCCAAGGTCCCTCTCACAGTTAACTGTTCTTGAGCCAGGTTTCGCCTAATCTGTATTTGCACCTTTAGGTTTTTCTGCCTACGTGTAAAACCTTGCTTTTCTCCACACTAAATTTCATGTTGTTGGATAGGGCCCATTGTTCTTTTTTTTTTTTTATAACAAACGTTATTAGTTTTCCACATATTTAGAAAGCACCCTATTTGATCCCTAAATTTTGAGTGTTAATGTATTGCTAGTTTAACCATGGTTTCTGGTGCTGCTGCCCTTGGTGAAGTGATTCCAGTGGTTGGGTCGATGCACTGGCTGAAAGAAAGTGGCTGACGTTGGAGCCCAAAGTCTATCTTGGGCAGGTAGGACCACCAGGTGGAGGTTTTGGCCACAGGATGCCATCAGCCTCCCTTTGGGGAAGTGGGGGTCTCAACCCCCACCATGAGGTATTGCTGACCCCGATGAATATATTTATACCCTCCCTAAATTATAAAGAAATAATAGAAAGCCATTTTAGGAGGACCCCATGTTCAGTCTGTGGTGGCCCAAAGAACAATATCCGTGAATAACTACATAGGTTATTCTCTCTGCATTAGAGCTACCTCACATATACAAAGTCTATGGGATGGGGGTCTTTGCTGTGTTTTCTCACATCATAGAGCCGTGGTGGCGAACCTATGGCACGTGTGCCACAGGTGGCACGCAGAGCCCTCTCTGTGGGCACGCGTGCCATCTCTGTGGGCACACGTGCCTCGGCCTTCAGCTGGGTTTTATAAAACCTTTTTACTTTAGGCCTCCACCGCCGTGTGCAAAAAAAAAAAAAAGGTTCAATCAATCAATCAATTTCAACTTGCAGGGGAAAAAAAGATCTCGCAAAGTTGGAACTGATTGATTTAACTTTTTAGTCCGACCCAGTCTGCCATTACCACCGCAGCCACGCCCACCCAATGGGCCACGCCCACCCGACACTCGATGATACGTAAGTGAGTTTTGGATTGCAGTTTGGGCACTCGGTCTCTAAAAGGTTCGCCATCACTGTCATAGAGCATCACACACACCCAACTGAGAAAAAGGAAAAGGCAGGGATCATTAATAATTCAGGCAGGCAAATGGGGAGCAACAGGGAAAGCCGTGATAGCGCAGTGGTTAGAATGCAGTATTGCAGGCTAATTCTGCCGATCGCCAGCAGTTTGATTCTCACCGACGCAAGGTTAATTCAGCCTTCCATCCTTCCGAGGTCTGTAAAATGATGACCCAGATTGTTGGGGGGCAATATGCTGATTCTTTATACCGTTTAGAGAAGGCCGTAAAGACTGTGAAGCGGTATATATGTCTAAGTGCTATTGCTATTCTGTCAGCCATCATGAATCTCTCTTCTTTTCTTTTTGCTTCATCCAGCAGGTGACACCGGGAAAACTGTTCCAGTTTTTTCTGCGCTTAGCCCTGCAACTGAGAAGGCGCCGGAAAGTATGCTGGGTGGAGAAATACTTCGATAGAAGGTCCCCTCAGAGGAACCAGGAGAGACTCTTCAGGTGCTCTGAGGGCGGGATATCCTTTGCTCACAAATCCCTAATTTTGATTAACCGGAAGCTGGACATGGGGAATGGATCCCATCTGTGTTTGAAGTGTGGGAACTCGTTTTGTGGTTGTGAAGCTTTCCCAAACATCTCCAGAGCCACCCTGGACTGAAGCCCTACAAATGTGGAGAGTGTGGGAAGCATTTTGCTAAAGGCTGGGACATCGGAGCTCCTTAGCGTATCCACCAGGGAAAGAGACCTCAGGAAGGTCTCAGTGTTTTTCCAGGCCTCAGAACAGCCCAACTGAAGAGAAACCCCTGCAATTGTGTGCAATGTGGATTTTGCTTTTCTCAAAACTCAGAGATGCTTAAACATCAACAAATCCACACTGGACAAAAACCTTATCAATGTCTGGAGTGTGGGAAATCTTTTGTTCGAAAAACAAGTCTCAAAATCCACAGGAAAATTCACATGGAAATAAAACCTTATAAATGCTTCAAGTGTGGAAAATGTTTCACTCGGAGTTCATCACTTTGCAATCATACTAAAACACACACAGAGGAGGAAAGCAGAACGTGCCTAGAATGTGGGAAATATTTTTCCAGCAAATCAACCCTGCGGCGACATCAGAGAATCCACACTGGGGAGAGACCTCATAAATGTCTGGAGTGTGGAAAATGTTTTTCCAGCAAATCAACCCTGCAGCGACACCAGAGACTCCACACTGGGGAGAGACCTTATGAATGTCTGGAGTGTGGGAAATGTTTTTCCCGCAAATCACTCCTGCAGCAACACCAGAAAATCCACACTGGAGAAAGACCCCATGAATGCCCAGAATGTGAGAAACGATTTGGGCGTTCTTCCACACTTCGGAGACACCAAAAGACACACACGAGAGAAAAACTCTACAAATGTAACGAGTGTGAGAAATGTTTTTCTCTAAAGGGAAGTCTTTTTCGACATCAGATAATCCACACAGGGGAGAAACCCTATCAGTGCATTGAGTGTGGAAAATTTTTTCGTACGATATCAGGCCTCGGACATCATGAGAAAATTCACAGAGGGGAAAAAAATTTCAAATGTTTAGACTGTGGGAGAGCATTTATTCATTCATCTCTCCTTAGACGTCACTGGCAAATGCATACAGGAGAGAAGCCACATAAATGCTCGGAGTGTGATAAATGTTTTTATCAGAAAAATAGACTTTTGATACATCAGAGAACCCACAGTGGAGAGAAACCATATAAATGTTCCGAGTGTGGGAAGTCTTTTTCTTGCCAAGAATATCTTAGAAAACACGAGACGATTCACACAGAAAAGAAGCCTTACAAGCCTGTGCAGAAAAATAAAATGTGCTCAGAATGTGGGAGATGTTTCTCCCAAAGGACACACCTAATTCGACATGAGAGACTTCACACTGGAGACAGGCCCTATCAATGCCCAGAATGTGACAAGCGATTTGTGGAGTCTGCTGAACTCCGGAGACACCAGAGGGGGCACACAGGAGAGAAGCCCTATAAATGTGGGGTGTGTGCGAAAGGTTTTCTCACAGCAACACTGCTTCGAGTTCATGAGAGAATCCACACAGGGGAGAAGCCCTATAAATGTGTGGAGTGTGGGAAATGCTTTTCCCGAAAACAACACCTCGGAAATCATCAAAAGGTCCATAAAAGAATGAAGCCATAAAGACTCATAGTGTGTAGAAATGGTTCCTTAAGAGGGAGATATCAGAAAACTCACATGGGAAAAGGCCTAACAGGCCCTGACGGTGGAACAGTTTTTCATAGTTGTTCAACCCTTAGAAGTCATGTAAGAATTCCTAAAGAGCGGGGGGGGGGGGGAATTGGACACTCTTAGATCATGAGAGAGCATTTATTTTGTCAATCATCCCTTAAAAATCATACTCTAGTCCATAAAGATGCAGCATAAATGTTTGTAGTGTGATGTATGTTTAGCCTGAAAGAATACTCTTTTTCAGCATTAGTGAATTCTTACTGGAGAGAAACTTTTATGAGGGTTTAGGATGTGGCAAAGGTTTTTATCTGACAATCAGATCTTCAGATGCTCATGAAAAATCCACACAGGAGAAAAACCTTGACAAGTGTGTAGCGTGAGAAAACTTTTCCTTGCCAATTGGAACATCTTGCCTCCTGGAGTTTGTCCATTTGAAATTGCTTCCTTGGAAATTTTCTTGCCAACTTAAAAATTTTATAATTATTTTAAAAAATTAATTTTAAAACATGAATATGAAAGTCTAATGTGAGTGTGAAAATTAAAACCTAATGTGAAATTCTCTGGAATCAAAAAACGACTGCTAGGATCTTGGAAGCCACCAAAAGTCTCTTTTGAGTTGGGCAGGATTAACACATCCAGGAAATATATACAGGCAGTCCTCGACTTATTTTATGACCTTTTTCCCCATAGTTGCTGAGTGAATCACTGCAGTTGATAAGTTAGTCCCGCGGTTGTTAAGTGAATCTGGCTTCCCCCATTGACTTTGCTTGTCAGAAGGAAGGCTGCAAAGGGTGATCACGTGACCCTGAGACACAGCAACAGTCATAAGTATGAGCCAGTTGCCAAGCATCTGAGATTTGGTCACATGACCATGGGGATGCTGCAAAGGTTGTAACTGTGAAAAACGGTCATAAATCAACTTTTTTTCAGTGCCGTTGTAACTTTGAACGGTCACTAAATGAAGCATTGTAAGGCAAGGACTCCCTGTAGAAGCATAGAATATGTATCCTAGAGCGCAGCGGATGGAAGCCCAGAAGTAAGAAGGGCTTTGATTATAATTTTGTGGTAATTTTAAAAGACCTTTTGGAAGAAACCATAATGTTAATGGAAAAATTGACTGATTTTAAGGCATTAGCTGATTTTAAAATCAATGGTGTATAGACAAAGAAGTTGACCAAAATATGAAAATGGAAGACCAAAAAGAATTGATGGGAAAAAGTGATTTGAAAGAAATGAGACAAAAGTAATACAAATTCTATGTCAAAATAATTATGACAAGGCATGAATCAAATCAAGAAGGATATGTTAACATGGAAGAAAAATACAATTGTCGTTGGATAGAATTTCTATAATTAAAAATGACTATATTACCTAGACCAGGGGTAGGTAACCTTGGCTCTTTTATGACTCATGGACTTCAACTCCCAGAATTCCTGAGCCAGCATGGCTCAGCTTGGAAACCTCTCCCTTTCCCCTCAGCATGGCTGGCTCAGGAATTCTGGGAGTTGTAGTCCACAACTCATAAAAGAGCCAAGGTTGCCTACCCCTGCTTTAGGAGAAACATAGTACTTTTCATATATTCACACCAATGTATTTGTATTAAGTTTCTTTCTTTGATCTGTGAATATAATCCTAAATAAAATTATTGTTCAAAATAACCAAGAGGGCTGTTTTCAGGGAGTTTTAAAAAGTCAAGACGGCAGTCAAATTGTGCCACACTGTGCAGTCAAACTCCTGCTGCTTTTTAGCTGTGTATATGATGCCTCTTAAAACAGCAGCCATCTTGATTCTTTTGGCTCCATCTCTAGCTGGAGACTTCTGACTTCCTGGATTGAACTGAAAGATGTAGTTTTCGGATGAACTTTAGGAAAAATGTCCTGGGAATTTGAATGGATCCCTGCTCTTAAGGGCAGATCATTGGTGGCTACCTACATGTGCCCAACACACTTGTGATTAAAAGAACTACTTACTTAGGACATACATATGTAATAGGTCACAAAAAGTGCCACTTTGAATTATGTAATCAATTTGGTGTGAAATGCAAAGGTTTCATATTACCCAAAATTCAGTTAATGTGAGGCTGTTGTGCGTGCAATTAAAGCTACTGTGTGTACAGTTGTGGTTTTAACCATAAATTTAAATTCCTTTCAGCATGTACTTATTCTTTACTTTATTGTTCATATATCATGTTACATTAAGTACTTTTCTTGCGTATTTCTATCAGTCTGAACCCAATTAACCTATTTTCCATGAAAATATTCCTTCAAACAACAAATTCAAACAATCTTTTTGTGCGATTCATTAACCACACTAATCTACGTTAATTCCTCGCTTACCCTGAACCGTGGTTAATTCCTTCTCTATCCTCCATGAAATGGCACATCCTCCGCAGCCCAACGCAGTACAACGTTTTCCTAGCTTTTTTTTTACTTTGCAAGTGGTGTTTTCCCTTTTGATCCCATAGAAACATCCTTTATGACGTAATTGCTATATACTCAGAGGCTGAGATCTGCCCGTCTCCTATTGGCTACTACGGGAGGCTGTTGACTCTACCCTCCAAGCATCTTGATCTGGTTCCCACGGTAGCACAACCTATACAGGAAGAGGTTTCCCCTAAGTCGTGGGGAGATGGAGTTACCCCTCGGTCAGCAAACCACGATCAAAGCAAAGCTTATCGGATGGTGTTTCCTGATGCTCTGAGATGCAGAATAGGGAAAAATGTAGACTAGGTACTAAAGCAGCCAAATCACCGTCCCATACAACCCATGATCCCGGCATGCAACGTGGCTCCATCTGCTTGCTGTTTCCAGCTCCCAGTGCCCCATTTGGGCTCAACATACACGGGAAGAGGCGTCCCTAAGTGGAGACGGAGCTCCGTAGGAAATCACGAAAGGCTTCCTTCGCTTTCCCGCCGCCTCTGCTTCAGGGAGACCTGCCGACGAGCCCTGGACGGAGGGCTGGGCTGATTCCAGGGCTGGCAGTAAACTATGATTAAGCCATGATTAAGGCCGGTCTCTGTCCCTGGAGGAGCCACGCTCGGTTCCATCATCACCGCAGCCTCTTTGGGCTAGGGCTAGGCCAGGGGTAGGCA